CTTATCTCCCTAAAGCTGATTAGAGAATATGTCCAAACATGTATCTCTGTGTGACTGTGTTCAGTTTGGTACTGGTTTTGATACGATGAAACTTAAATCTGGAAAGGACTTAGAGGCATAATTTAATGAAAAGGATTATATAGTTTATTAAAGAACTTGACAGAGCCAACCCAGGAAACCAACTCTATCTCCAATTAACTATCAATCTTACTTGAAATTTATTACCCCCTACAAAAATCCTATGCACAGGCCTGGATGATTTACAGTGGGACTAAAGAGACTCCCAGGCTGTAAACAGACTGTCCTGCAGTACATCTCTTTTGACACTGCTGGTATCTAAAGTAAAACACCACATTCCTTGTTTACTTAAATTGGGATGTTAGAGCCTACTGCAGATTCTGTATTCAACTAAGAAATGTAACTGTTTTGAATTTTAGAATCAAATTTCACATTACTACAAAAACTCTCATTATATGACTACAATAGTGGCTTTATTCCTTCACATTCCAATTCTCTAATTTACTGAAGCCTTCTTTTATACATTGTCAGAAGCCTTTAAAAACTAAATAGGTGGCAAAGCAATGGCAAAAATTATGAGGTTATATTTATGTAGTGCTCTTCTTCATACATAGAGGCATAACTACTTCTATTACCTGGCCATACCTCTGTGATAGAAGAAACATCAGAACTTGAGCTTTACTGGGAAGACTGAAGGGAAAAATGGATGGCCCCATATTCAATTTTGCTAAATAGAGCAGCCTTTTTACTACACTAGTGTTAAAAAAGATTTGTATACTGACTCAATTCTATGCACATACTTTCATACTAGGACAGAGATGTTGAGAGGCTTCTGGTTTACAGATCAACATTCTTTTCTAGGGAACAGCTTTGTGGAGGCATAACCAGCATACAGATGAGCTGTACATGTTTGAACATGCACAGTTTGATGGGTTTGAACATGTGCATATACTCACGGCCCCTGTCACTACAACCAGGTAACATCAAAATGGCAATGTATTTAGAATTGCTTAACTGTATGTGGCCCAAAGTATTTATTGATGCAAAATTAACAATGACTTTTAATTATTTTATATTGTCATAATGGAACTGAAGGAATTAATAAAGAATAAATACAGTAAAACATTACAAAAGCAGACCTTACATTAAGATTATATAAAATCTTATCTTAGATTTTCTGTATGAAGAAACAGATGGATCCTGATTTCAAAGTAACTTGCATTAGGTAATAGAATAGATTCAGAAGCAAAACTGGTTAAAATGAAAAAAGTGAAAGTGAAAGTATTAGTCACTCAGTCATGACCAACTCTCTGCGACCCCATGGACTGTAACCTGCCTGCCCCTCTGTCCGTGGAATTCTTCAGGCAAGAAGACTGGAGGGGGTTGCTACTCCCTTCTCCAGGGGATCTTCTCAACCAAGGGATAGAACCAGGGTTTCCCCCATTGCAAGCAGATTCTTTCCCATCTGAGCCACCAGGGAAGCCCATGGTTAGAATATAAATTCCTAATTATCTATACAAATCTGGCTAAGGATCTAGCTCAGGAAATTCAACAAGAGATTATAAAACCAAGGGAATATTACTCCCTGATCAAAGGTGATTTCCTAAGATGACAGAAGCCCTGAAGAGAGTACCACATCTACTAGAGCACCTGCCTACGTGGGAGACCTCCATTCACACAAAGGCAAAACTCGGGAAATTAATGCATGGACAGAAGAACACAGAAGCTTTCTTGTTCTTATGGGTCTCCCCAAGTGCTTTTAATGTGAAAGTAATACATTAAATTCTAAAAAAAGTGGCAGTAGTCAGCAAGTATTAGACTTGCCAAATTAATTCATAAAATCAGGAACTACTACTACTGGAAGCTTTCCTTAAGGGTGCAAGTACGCAGTTCCCACACACATACTTTTTAAGAAAGAATATAATTATAAAAATACAACTGTGAAAACACAGTTAAGGAAAGCTCATTGTGAGATTTAATTTATGTCCTATTTATACGTAGCTATATTGATTAGAGGCTTTAATTCTAACACTGTATTAAAATTCATATTTTCAGGTTGTAAGTTTGGACAGAGAACAAAATAAAACCATGAATATATTTCTCTTACAAATATAAAAGTATTATTTTTATATAGCACTGTAAACTTATTAAAGGTCTTCTCATTACCTAATTTACTTCTTACAAGCAACTTGAAAGGTGCACAATGCATTTTATCTCTGGATTTATGATAAAAAAAAGTCACTAAGGCTTAAAAAACTTCACTGCTAGTAACTGAAAGTGAGTCAATACTTTCCAATTTACCTTGAAAGAAAATATAACATTCCAAAACATTCTTACAACCATTAGTGTTACAGACAAATGAGCACCTGTTATTAATGTCAAAATCTGTATTAAAAGTAGTAAATTCTTCTTAGAGAAGGATTCCAAGTAATAAAAGTAGTAGTAATCAAGAAAACAGTCACCGTTAGAACACAACAGTAAATAACTGTTGCCTGTATGCAATATCCATCAATGCATGCTAAAATTCGTGGGAGATAATTAAAAAAGAAGCAGGATATTTGTGTAGTAGCAAAATATATCCCCCCCCAACAGTTATCATCTCAAAGGGAAAAAGCAACTTAGCAGGTAGCAACTAAGCAGAAACGACACTCACCAAGAGACCACCGTACCATCCCCAATAAAAAGACAACAGACATCTTGTTACTTCTGGTACAAGGTATGGATGGAGCAGGGCACACCACTTATGTGGCAATCTTTCCAACAAATATGTAACCTCACAAACTCAAATTGAGACACTCTACAAAATATCTAATCAGGATTCTCCAAAGTGTCAAGGTCATGAAAGACAAGAAAGGATGGGGGAAGTGTTAAAAATGAGAAGAGACTAAGGAGACATGATGACTAAATGCGCAATGGAATTCTGGAAGGAATTATAGAACAAAGGACATTAGTGGGAAAATTGTTGAAATTCTAATAAGTTCTACAGTTAGTAATAGTGCTGTGTTAACATTAATTGCTTAGTTTTGATCCTTGTACTATGGTTATACAAGACCTTAACATTAAAGGTATACGGAAACTCCTGATTTTTATAACTCTTGTGTAAGCCTAAAATTATTTCAAAATAATGAAAAAAATAAATGGCCCATTCTGAGACTAAAAGAAAAATGACATCAACAAAATGATCACAGTTGTAGAGAAGCTAATTTTAACTGTCTTTTAGATTTAGGGAAAATCCAGGTATTTCTAGATAATACAAGAAAAATTAAATTCAGAAACTTACCAATATAATTCTCTAATTACAGCATAAAAAGAGTTTTAATCTGGTTAACTTTCATATAAACAGACTGAAATAAGCTCCAAAAGAATCTTTTTTGTGTTAAGAAATCAATGTTTTAAGACTCAAATCTTTCTTTACCTAATTGTATTAAGTATTTCAAAGGCATATAAATTAACACAGTGCTGTTTACGTCCAATACAAGTCTTAACCGTACAGCTCTACTTCAGAAACTTCCTACGGCAATTCTCTCACTCCTATGAGATCATAAACTAAAAAAGCAAGAACCATCCATTGCCAACTTCACAGTACATCATGGACTTTGAGATGGAGTATGGGAATAACAAATACTAGCTCAGAAAAGAATAAAAAAAAATGAAGATCTTCCCAGTTAAAAGGAATTACTTTCATATATTCAAAGTGTTTTTTAATTATAAGAAACAATCTCCTGGGAAAATTATACATAAACTTAAAGAATCCTTATTGTACTTCTTCCAACCTCAATATTGCCAATATATCTTCTTTCTATTCTGGGTTACATTTTACCCATATGATCTAGTCACATATATAAATTTATCTTTTTTTTAAAAATTCAGTCTATAATTTGTGTCATTTGGGTGAGTTAACTTTAATAATTTGTTTCATTCAAACATATTTTGGCAATTTCAAGTTCTTCATCAAGTACCTGCCTTTACTATAATAGTCACTGGGAACACGGTGCACATCGTCTAAGAACTTTGAGCTTTAAAGAGTTATGTGGTATTACTTGTGCTACTTAAAATAAATAATAATCATATGGTCAAATGCTGTACCACTATTTGGTATTGGAATGTGTATTCTTTAACGTTAGATGTTAGATCTTACACTTTGATTTATCTCCAGTCACTATTACAGAACCTAGTGTCAATTGATAAAAATATTCATGCTTTCCAAAAGCATGAGAATATACAAGATATATGTGCAAAGCAAATTTATTAAGCCAAATTTAGTGTACATCATTAACAATAATTAAATTTCTGATCATGTTCACTGAATCTACAATGTATTTTAGTATTATAAAAAGAAGACAGATTTGAGGGTTCCAATTGCTATTTTGGAAACAGAACATTACATATTTCATAGCTGAAACAGTTTAAAGATCTTCAGTGAAATAGCTTTTCTGAAGCTGTTCTAGCTTAATAAAAAAAAAAAAATCACAGTACAATAAAGAAATATTTAACCTGTATAAAAAGCAGGGTATTATTCTGATAAGCTTTTGATCATTTTTATCAGTGTTTTAGATTTTCTGTACTTAAAAATAAGAGCAAAATAAACAAAAAACAGGAATTCGTATTTAATACTATTCAAACAATGTATGAATAATGTTTACACAAGTGCCAAATGTAGGGCCTAAACACTTTTATTAAATGTTTTAAAGGGTACACAATGTAAAAAAAAAAAAAAACTATCTAAAAACACTCTATCCTGTGCACTTCTAGATATGTGCTATGACAACATAAGTTTTGTCTGATGTTAAGTACTCTCTTTATTAAGGAACAGTAGTTATGATCACATTTGACTGAATTTCCTTCTCAGACAAAAGTCCCAAGTGAAACAATTTTATTGACTAACTAGCCAAAGAAAGTAATAAACAAGACCATCACTCAATTCAGGAAGGAGAGAGGGAATAAATACCAAGTGAAAATATAAGCTTGATAACTGTGCTTACCTTCACTTCTTTTTTCTGCTTGTTTTGTGGAATTTTCTACTTTCTTCTGTTTTGCTGCTAAGAGCTCCCGCTTTAATTGTCTTGCTTCTTTTCTGAGTTCTTCACTACAAATCAAAAACAATTATGTAAGTTTATAACAGACTAAGAAAGTTGTTTAACAAAAACACCTAAATCCAGTTGTCATATATGGTAAGAAAAAATGAATAATTCATTCTACCTCTGTGTATGTGTATTTATGGTACAGAAATGAAATGAAGTGACAGTCACTCAGTTGTGTCCGACTCTGTGCAATCCCATAGAAGCCTGCCAGGCTTCTCTGCCCATGGAATTCTCCAGGCAAGAATACTGGAGTGGGCTGCCATTCCCTTCTCCAGGGGATCTTCCTGACCCAGGGATTGAACGTGGGTCTCCCTCACTACAGGCAGATTTTTTACCATCTGAACCACAGGGAATGGAAACATACTTAAAAGATATATTAAAAGTTGTGATTTCACAAAAGCAATATAACATGAATAACTACAAAACACTGGGGCATCCCAGGTGGCACAGTGGTAAAGAACCCTCTTGCCAATACAGGAGACCCAGGAAAGGCAGGTTCAATTCCTAGGTTGGGAAGATGCCCTGGAGAAGGAATTGGCAACCTACTCTAGATTCCTGCCTGAAAAATTCCATAACAGAGGAGCCTCGTGGGCTCCTCCATGAGGTCGCAAAGAGTTGGATATGACTGAAGCAGCTTAGCACACACACAGGCATGCACTATGAAATAATAGCTCCCTTCAAGTATATCAAACAGTTGATGAGTGATAAATGAACCTTTGTTTTCCCTCTAATTTACTTTCAAATTTAACATTCTAAATTCAGTTTAATAATGCATGAAGATTCCAAATCAAAACAAACTTTTTAATATAAATACTATTCACTAAACCTGGGCATACACAAAAAATATCTGACTTCAAAACTTAATGAATTGGTACCAATAACTACCATTTATCAAGCAATTATTACATGCTAGGAGCAATGCTAAAATTTTTCTTAAACTCAATTCGTTTCTAACCCTTTTTTATTACATGCTAGGAGCAATGCTAAATTTTTTTCTAAACTCAATTAGTTTTTAAACCTTTTGATACCACAATTTGGCAAATAATTTCCTTTTCTGTGAAAACTATCAGGCTGAGATATTTTGATAATTAATAGAATCATATATCAAAGGCAAATGAAGATGTAAGTGCTGACTTTACTGCAACACTTAGATGTTACGTGACTGGTTTTTACAAGCCACTTTAGGGCAGGAGACTCAATTTCAAGCCTTGGAAACAATTATTAACTGCTCATGTCATGAACCCTGTGGGTCACTTGTGAACAGTTAAAAAAAACTATTCATTTTATATCTGTGAATGTCAGGCATTCACTCTATTTTCAACACGCTAGAGTGTGTCATGGAGACTGAGGACACTGTAGCCCAAGGAGGCACCCCATTCTGGAACAGTCTCTAAAGACACTCATTCTACGCTGATTCAGCCTTTAGTCAGTTCAGTCGCTCAGTTGTGTTCGACTCTTTGTGACTCCGTGGACTGCAGCACTCCAGGCTTCCCTGTCTATCACCAACTCCCGGAGCCTACTCAAACTCATGTTGGATGGCGGTGACACCATCCAACCATCTCATCCTCTGTCGCCCCCTCCTCCTCCCACCTTCAATCTTTCCTAGCATCAGGGTCTTTTCCAATGAGTTGTTTCTTCACATCAGGTGGCCAAAGGACTGGAGCTTCAGCTTCAGCATCAGTCCTTCCAATGAATATTCAGGACTGATCGGATCTCCTTGCAGTCCAAGGGACTCTCAAGAGGCTTCTCTAACACCACAGTTCAAAAGCATCAATTCTTTGGCACTCAGCTTTCTTTATAGTCCAACTCTCACATCCATACATGACTACAGGAAAAAGCATAGCTTTGACTAGATGGAACTTTGTTGGTAAAGTGATGTCTCTGTTTTTTAATATGCTGTCTAGGTTGGTCATAGGTTTTCTTCCAAGGAGCAAGTGTCTTTTAATTTCATGGCTGCAGTTACCGTCTGCAGTGATTTTGGCATCCCCAAAAATAAAGCCTTTAGTGCTCCCTTCTAAATCCCCAGTCTCATATTTTTTTCCTCCTGTCCTGTATTAGAGTCACCAAACTGATAGGTTTTATAATGTGTGTGACTCAGTTCTTTTCACATTTTTTCTGTATCAAACACACACAGCCCTATTTGTATCTGCATGACGTCCAAGGTCCTCAATTCTAAAACTTCCCTCTCTGATCACTATGCTTTTAGCTTTCTCAGTCTTTCATTCCTACTGAACTTAGGCTCACTCTTTTATGAATGAAAGCCAATTCCTTAATCACAGTTCATGGTCCGCCAGTCTTATTCTAACCCAATTGTCTGTCTGTGCATTCTGATGCTATGGTCAGTCATTTCACTGATGTCCTCACCAGGACCCATAATTTTGTTGTTTTTCCTGTTGGATACATCATAATCATCTAGAAGAACTGTTAAAACATGTTCAGGGAGACATATCTCCAAAAAATATGATTTCTTTAGATGTAAGACGCTGCCTGGGAATTTGCTCCTGTGACAAGTTACCCAGGTGACTGTAACATGCACTCAAGTTTGGGACCCAATGCATTAGGACCTTACAGTAGAAATTATCTTATCTTTCTTAACAACTTCAAGCATTTCTACTTTAGTGATCCTTTCACTCGGCCAACAACGTACTCAAATTTCCCTGTACTCTGCTCCAATCAAGAGATTATTATCTTTACAAGTGGACTCCTTGCCTGAAAGAATAGCTTATATACAGAGTCTAATTCATCAAGCTCTAAGTTCTTAATCTCTTGCAATCGATCCTTCTTATACTCTACTGAAACTGGTTCTATCTCAGTCGAATTCAATGGTCTTTTCTTAGTCCTGTTCTTCCTCTTTGGCCTTCCTATCATCCAATGATATGAACTACTCCTTGTGAAATTTTCTGCTAATCAGACTATGTACCACTTTAGAGTTCTGATTCTCCATTTCTGCTCTGAATTACTCTTTTTCTTCTCATACTATAATTGTCATTTTCCTCATTTCTATACCCTGTATGCTGGCATTTTATCTAATCTTACAAACTATCACTTTTATAATAGGATATTTCCAAATCTAGATGTTTCCCCCTACACTTCTATTCTATTACAACTCTCTACGTAAATTAGTACTATCCAACAGAAATATAAGCCAAGACACACATACAACTTTGTTTCCTAGCACATTTTAAAAGCTGATAAAAAGAAACAGGTTAATTTTAAAAACATATTTTATTTAGCTCATTAACTCAAAATATCCAAAGTATTATTATGTTAACATGGAATCAATATAAGAATATTAATACACTATTTTACATTTTTTTTGTACTAACTCTTCTAAATGCAGTGTGTATTTCACACTTAGAGGACATCTCAATTCAAACTAGCCACATGTCAATGGCTTAGATCCAGATGTAGTTTGAGGCTAGATGTCACAAGAATTACAAACTCTCTATGTCCAAACTCCAAGTCATCTTTTCCCTGGCCAAATCTGTTCCTTCTCCTGAAGTCCCTATTTGATCACAAAACCGACTTCCTTCTAATGACCAAACTCTAAACTTCCCTTGGGACTATTCACCCTCCCTTTCACTGAATCGCTGTCCAAATATGTCATTTTCTGATCTCTCTCTCACATGCAACTGCTCTTCTTGACTCTCACCATCAATGCCAGGGTTAGGCTCTCATGATCTATTTCTCAGATAAATGCAATTACTTCCTATTACTTGAATTTATATGAAAACAGAAAATAGCAACCACATCCTTGCTCCATCCACTAAATACCCTTATCTATTTATCATACTAGCTTAAATTTTTTTTGTAAATAATTCAGGAAATTCTGATGCTATTTTTGAAGATTAAGGTGAGGGTACGATTATTTTGAAAGCTGAAGAAGCGCTGCATGACAGCTGAACAGACTGTTATCAGGGTGAACTGAGACATGCAAAGAGTGAGGGGCAATGAGAGTACAAACTATTGTAGAGCCAGTAAAGCAAAGATACCAAAAAGACTAACACAGGTATTAAAGCACAGATATTAAAAAGATCAGGAAGTCCTGATTTAAAAGCCAATTCTGTCACTTATTGTCTGGGAGACCTAACAACAATTAGTTAACTTCTCTGAGACTCAGTTTCCTCATCTATAAGATCAGAGTAAGATATTTAAAATATTAGGCATTCAATATATTTTCAACAAATGATGGCTAATATTCTTTAGATCATCTGTTAAAAACAGTACTACAGTTAAGGTCTGTTTGTCAAGTAGAAATATTTTCTTATATTATTTATTATAAACAAATGCCACCTCTACTACATATGAAGATCAACTCTGTTCATAATTTTTAAAAAGGGCAATGAATGTTTAATGCCAGCTTCTAAATATCCACTCTTAAATAGACAAAGACTTAGATACACTGCTGAAGCAGCCATAATAATAAACAAACTGAATAATGACGAATAAAATCTCAAAAAAGACAAAGTAAGACAGAGAAGGTTTTTGTCTATATACATAAAAGTATGTTTCATTGTACTGAATTTTTCAAGTAATTAAAAATGTACAACATTGTCAAAATCTTTCAAGACTATTCAAACAATACCATTTGTTAGTACACATGGAATCCATAACTCTTAGAATGAAGTGCATGTTTTTAACCTAGTCTTTAGATCACAATCTAGTTTTAGCGGACCCAATCTTATATTCTTCGGAATATAGTTTCATCCACTGGTAGTAGAGTATATTTGCACCTACTAAATAAGAATGAAAATTTTAAGCCTGGACTAGACCGCAGCAGTATAGTCACCTTACACTGCTTACAAAGCAAGAATACAAACGGTGGGCTTGCTTGAGTCCAGGCAGCATCTGTTTGGCTTCCTCAGAGCCTAGTTTCCACCTGTATAGTAAAATAAATATTTCTATAAGCCACTATTAATTCTAAGCTAATTAATTTTTTTCCTAATAGATCTCTAATTTGGATTCATTTGAATTTTAACATGGTTTTTATGACATCAGCATCAGC